CCTGCAATGCAAACATTAGGAGCCGTCATCGCAGCCTCACCTTAACGTTGCATACACAAAGGGGAAGGGGCATCGCAATCCAAGGCAAGTGATGTCACCACGCAGGCATTCCCAACAGTCATTCAGAAATTCATCAGCACAGAAGTTGGTATCTGCACGTACGCTCACTTAGGAATTTCTAATGGCCAGATGTTGGCGACATTAAGTGCTTCTGATTGCTCTTTAATTCTTCAGGCAAACTTTTAATGCTTGCGAATTGATTTGGACACATTGGTTGAGATTTGTTGTCCGTTTGGGGCCCCGCAGGTGGGAGGGAGTGAGCCAGTAGTTATTTTAACGTTAAAAGAGCCATACTACGGGATGATCTGCGATGTGGGCCGGATCTCATATACTGCCCTCAACCCAGTTTGTGGACCCCCGGCGAATTGGCCCTTCTGCCATTGGCCAATCAAATTTGGGCATCACTTGCAAGGCCAAGTTGGGTTTGGGTGGTGGCAGCAATGATAAATATGCTGTTAATTCTTTGTTTTGATTTTTATTTTTATTCTTTGATTATGTGATGCACGTGGAACTGCACAGAGGAGATTGGTTGTTGTGTGGAATCTGTTCAATTTGGTCCATGCAAATCAGTTTCCCCCCCACTTGGATTTGCTTGCTCTGGGGAGGGTGGGGGGGTGGGTCTAATTTTTGGAATGGGGGAGCGGTTGGAATGGTAGAGCAAAAAATATAATATTTGAGTTGTAACATTTTGCTGTCTTGTGGAAGCTTGTGTTGAAATAAAAAAAAATCGTTATTTCATCCATTAACCGCGAGGGGTTTTCTATTAATCGCACATAAGGCTACGATTTTGGGATGGTAATATACAGTTGAATTCACGACTGAGGTGTGTGGAAATAACGGTGACCTCTGGATAGGTCACAGAAACGGGTGTTTCTGCAGCCATATCCAAGATTTCACAGACTAAAAAATTAATGATCTGATTTACTGACCTCTGACAAAATTGTAGCTTTGTAAGTGACCTTCCCTCGGGTGTCAGGAGGTGGGGGGGGGGACACTATCTCATTTAGAAGGAATCTCGCCTTCGTACAAATGTACAAGATCATTTGACAAGAAATACAAAATAAGTTGGAGCGGGCAAGGCTGCAACAGCATTATGGTGCACATTGTTTTGTTACAGAGGGTATCAATTGTGTGCACGGCAAGCGGCTTGATGTGTCATTTACTACCATATTTACCCAAGAATGTCAGTGATGTCAGTGTGTAACGTGCGTGACGTCACTCCACGTCGACCAGCTCCCCTCATTAATAATCATGAACAGGTTACGTCCTCCACATGTACCTGCCCCTCATTAATACAATCATGAGCAGGTGACGTCACTCCACATCGAACAGCCCCCCATTAATAATTAACAACTAACGTCCTCCAAATGGACACCCCCCCCCCCCTTACTAATAGTGGGTGACGTCACTCCACATGGGGGGGGCGAGGCGCCTCCTCCCCCCTCTTGAGCGTCAACTTAAAGCCTTCACTACAAAGGCAGAACCCTCACGTCATGTGATCTGTGTAACGCTATTGAGACATAGAAGTAAAAAGGACAATGAACAAGGAATTATAACCTTAAAATGAAATAAGTCTCTGTCACCGCGGCCTTACTAATTGCACACGAAAGGATGCAATGAATATCACGTCGTGGTCTGCTTTTCGCTTGCAAGTTTCAGATTAGCTGCAATACACCCGTCCTTGGACGGGCAAAAGGCTAATTCTTACATATTCAACAAGCCCGTCCGTAGGGTGGAGCCGATTTTGTTTTTCAAACTAGGGACCTGAAACCTTTGTCAGGTCTAGCCCTCCCCTACCTGCGCACTGCTGTGCTGGTGGTTTAAACCATTGTCGGATCACCTTAAACTATTTTTTAAACCTAACCGTATTTGACTAGGTAAGACCCACTGAACTATATAGCTATTTTTCAGAAGCGACCTGACCGCAAATGATAGCTCAACGAAGAGGCGTATCATGTGGACATTTATAGCAGCCAAATACTCTAAATGTGGAGGGAAAAGCTGGAGAACCTGGAGAAAAATTCCACGGGCTGAGAGACATGCACACTTCAAATATAGAACAGGTGTTAGGGTCGGGATCTAGCCCACGACCTGAAAATCAGGTGAGGAAGTTAACATCTTGCCACCATGACTGAAACAAGCCACGACTGCTGTTCGCTCAACAATAAGCCTTAAGTTTCAAACAACGCACACATGTTTAAAAAGCAGAACCTTGGTGCATTATGCAAAAAAAACATCTGCACTTCCTCAATAAGTGCATCGTGGTCCTCTTGTCAGGTCTCCATCAAGCATTGGTTGACGACTGTGCTCATGTGTCCTGATAAGAATCATTTATACTGGAGAAATCCAATGAGCTATTAAGCTATTTTTTACATATGTCCAGCAAGGGCAGATCAGAACGTTACAACAAACAATACAAAAACACGACAGCAGTGCAAAGTATAGGCAAGGTAAAAAAAAACACTTAAAACTATACAAATATTGTAAAACTTTTTTTGGTATCTTGCCAGGTAAAGCCCATTGAGCTATTATTGCTGAGGATGATATCGGCGCAAAGTTGCCTATCACCGTATCCGGTCGTTGCGTCATTCCTAAAAGTAGGCCAATGTGTGCCGGCGTCAGGGTCCAAATAAGCCAAATTCGAAAATTACACCGCAAATTACACAATTGGGACAGCAATCATCGTCCCCCTACTGGCACGCTTAATGCACGATTGCAGGCCACGTGCTGAGCCACCTTGCGCCCACAGATGCCACTAGGGGGCGCCCTTTCAAACGGAATGTCAGGTAAAAGCGAAACCATCAACTATATATATTCTTGGTTCTTTCGGTAAAGTCAAGTAGAAGGGAAACAATGAAATAATAAAAATATAAAACAAGAAAATTCTCACGACTGTTTTATTTTACCAGGTAAAGCCCACTGAGCTATATATCTCTTTTTCAGAAGCGACCTGGCCACAAATGACAGCTCAACGAAGTGGCTTATAATGTGGAAATGTACAGCATCCAAATACTGTAAACGCACATTGATTCTAAACGTGTATGGAAAAACTGGAGGACCTGGAGTAAAATTCACGCCACGACAGGGAGAGAGAGACACACGCAGACTCCAAATAGGCATTAGGGTGGGATTCGAACCGGCGAATTTTTTTGTATACCAGGCGAGGGAGTTAACATCTCGCCACCACGGCGTAAAGATTCGCCTCGGTTATTTCGGTAAAGTCACGTAGAATGAGAATAAAATAATAAATTGATAAAATAAAATAACAATAATATTCTCACAACGTTTCGGCCACAACACAAGCGGCCTTCATCAGGTGAAGGGACGAGACTGTCTGGAGGACAGCGCTGTCTGGAGGACAGTCTCGTCCCTTCACCTGATGAAGGCCGCTTGTGTTGTGGCCGAAACGTCGTGAGAATTTTATTGTGTTATTTTATCAATTTATTATTTTATTCTCATTCTACGTGACTTTACCGAAAGAACCAAAGAAGATGAATCCTTGCAGTCACGAAAGCTTTAAATCGAAATTCGCCTCGGTGTATAGGGCACTATATAGGGTGGCCTAATAGTACACATAGGGTTACGGTATTATATCTAGTTTAACACTGGCATTAAAACATTTTTATAGTTTATTCTGAAGGTTAATATTTGTCTCTTATCATTATTCATATAACATTTTCTTCTCCGTTTTCAGATGATATATAAAATGGAAAGAACATTTACTGAGTTGGGACGAAACAATTGATACATGTTCAAAGATTACACTTGTTAAAAGAAACCCGTCCTGAATTAATTTAAAAAAATAAAATGTATAAATGCATTGATGTCAATGGAAGTCGGCTTCAACATTTGTTAAAATAAATGAAATAACCCGATGTGATTTGTTAAAAAAAATACACTAACCCCGTGTGTCCTGACATTTGGGCCACCGTGTATAAAACATACACAATTGTCATTATGAACGATCTTCACGATAGGGCAGTACGGTACTTTGATCAAAGTGCGATACGATTATTTTGCATCTTACGATAATATAACACGTCGAACGATATCGTACGATATCAATATCATCACGATAAAATCGTACGATATCATCACGATATCGTACGATATCAATATCATCACGAAAATATCGTACGTGCTCCTCCGGTCCCACGCATCTCGGGTCACCGCAATGTGACGATATCCTCACGACAATATCGTACAATATCACGATAACGTCGTACGATATCAATATCGTCACGATATCGTCACGACAATATCGTACGATATCACGATAACATCGTACGATATCATAACGTCACGACAATATAGTACAATATCACGATAACATCGCACGATATCAATATCGTCACGACAACGTCACGACAATATCGTACAATATCACGATAACGTACGATATCAATATCGTCACAATAACGTCACAATATCGTACAATATCACGATAACATCGCACGATATCAATATCACGATAACGTCACAATATCGTACGATATCACGATAACATCACACGATATCAAATCGTCACGATATCGTCACAATATCGTACAATATCACGATAACAATATCGTCACGATAACGTCACGACAATATCGTACAATATCACGACAATATCGTACGATATCAATATCGTCAGGATAACGTCACGACAATTTCGTACAATATCACGATAACATCACACGACATCAATATCGTCACGATAACGTCACAATATCGTACGATATTACGATAACATCGTACGATATCAATATCGCCACGATAACGTCACAATATCGTACGATATCACAATAACATTGCACGATATCAATATCGTCACGATAACGTCACAATACCGTACAATATCACAATAACATCGTACGATATCAATATCGTCACGATAACGTCACGAAAATATCGTACGATATCACGATAACATCGCACGATATTGTCACGCGAACACGGAGTAGGGGGAGGGGCGGGGGTGCACGTGACGCGTGACGCCCCTCCGGCCACGTACCCGAGGTGACGTCGGCTATGTCGGCGTCAACTTTCGAACCGACACAAACAGTCGAGGCGACCGCGGGAGGCAGCGAGAAGATGTCGGAACATTTCGTGAAGCCGGGTGAGGGAATTTCGCAGGGCGGGTTGGTTTCTTGAGCAGCGCGAAGTTCACCGGTGCCGCGCGAAGCCTTCCGGCAGTCGGTCGCGGTGCCGAGAAAAGCCGGCTTTTCGGGCCTAGCTTGATGTCGAAGAAGCCTACCGTTTGGCCTGATGCCCCGGCCGGGCAGGGCGTACGGCGCCGCGGCCGGAATCCCGCTGTACCGATGCGATGATGTGGCCGATGTGTGTCCCTAATAGAGGTGACACTCCGCAGAGCTGCGTGGGAAGTGAGTCGAGTGGTACCGGCCCTGCATTGTGCTTGCTGACAACGCGTTACATAGCCGACGATACACCGATGTTGTGTATGTGCACGTATGAATGTGCTTGCTGTCTTAATGTACGTGTTTCGGCGACTGTTCGCGTCCATGTCTCCGTGTGCAGGAGCGGTAGTGTAACGGTTTATCCCGCTGCGCTACGAACCCGGCGACCAGAATTTGAATCACGCTCACGGCTAGCTAACACCAGTGTCTATTATCTGAACCGGACCCGGGCACCCTCCCCTAGGTCGACTTGACCTCAAATAAGTACCTGGTGCCGTGTGTAAACACAGCAGCACTGGGGAAGCAACAGTGATAGGGCGTGGTGCTGGCCATCATAGGTGCTCGCTAACAGCACTTGCCCCAACAGCCTCTTAAGGCAATATGGGGGATCTTTGTACTGTTGTACCCGTGTTCATCACCCTTTCATGTGACCCCCGTGCCACCCTCACATGACACTGCGTTCTTCCCCCCTGCCCATGTGTCCCCCCCCCCCCATGCAGGGAACCTGGATCGCGGCTGGAACGACCCCCCAGTATTCGCATTCTGCACCCAGAATTCGACCCGGCGGGGGGGAACCCCCCTCACCAAGCGCGTTCCTCCCCCTCAGCTCACAGGTGCTCATCTCACAACATCGATAACCTACTCCTGGCAGACTCATGTAAACTCGCACAACGGTACAGGTATCCCTCGATTCACGAAAAGCAGGCGTAAAACGAAATTTCGTAAATGGGAATAGCTTTTTTTCCCTATTAATTAAATACGGAACATCAGGGATGTGTTTCGGACAGTCATTACAACTCTATCCCTAACCTAAACGACGTACACCTATTACACTTTTCACGATACAAATATAATAAAGAACAAATATAAAAAAAACTATTGAATATTAATTAATTTCAAACAAAATTAAACTTTTTCAGAAAACTCGCCAAAAGATCTGCATGTGAATGACTCATAGCGCGTGCCGTGCGGTATGAAATTTCTTTAACGCAGAAATTCGATTTCGTTAATTGAAAAGTGTCCATAATTTGTCAGTTGCGATAACGCGAAATTTCGTAAACCGCACGTTCGTAAATCGAGATTGATACCTTTAATGTGTTTACAAGGCTAAAATCTTTAGTCTGCGACAGATGTTATATTATGGGCACAATATAAATAAAAGTTGAGACAAAATAATAATTAGCGTTGTGGAGAGCATACGGTAAGTAACAAAATAGATAAGCGGACAATAGGTATGCATATATATGCCTATACACAACAAATGTAATGTATAGTTTGTGCAAAAAAAATAATGGAGACGTTGACAAGACGGGGTTAGGGTAATAGAGAAGGGTGGAGGACAAAGATAAGTTGGAAATGCCAAGGACTTTATAGAGGAAAAGAGACCGATGGGGAGAAAGAAAGGGCAACAGGAGGATGTTAAAGATATAAATAGGTCAGAAATGGAAGAGAGAAGATATATATTGGGGGTAATAATGAGCAGATTGATGAAGAGTGAGGTCGTGTCGGATATAGTGAGCGGCGCGTGTGGTATAAGTGGGTGGGAGAGTGAAACGAGGAGCGAAGTAAAAGAGAGAATTGAGAGTTAACGAGTGCTTTTCATTTCAGGGGGAACCACCTCCACCATTACATCACCCCAGGTGTCTCTGACCCCTGCAAGTGCCCCGCCCTCCAGCGTGGCCCCACCCCCCAGCGTGACCCCACCTCTTGCTCCACCCACCGCTGAGAGCTCTGCGTCCGTGACCCAGGAGGAGCCCAGTGTGGAGGTGGTGCTGGAGACGCTCACCTCCCTGCTGACGGGGTGCCGCGGCCACGTTCAGGTGAGCCACCTCTCGGCGGAATCGGCGAGCGATATAGTACTGGATATGCAGCCGATAACACCGGGTTTGTAATAAAGGTGTACATGGTGCTTGCACCCACCACCAATCACCCTCCCCTGTGTGCCTCGCTAAACTTGCAGGATGCTCATAATAAAGGTGCAGCCCTGAAATTACTAATATATACTACTGCAGGCAGGACAGCCTCCACTAGCGGGAGCTCTAGAAACCTCCTCCCGAGGGTATTTTGGCCTATCCTTCGATGCTGGCCAGGCATCTTCGAAGAGGGCAACAAGACTAACTTTAACAGAGCTACGTGTTAAATTTTGATTTAAAGCTTTCGTGACTGCAGTAATTCATATTCTTAGTTTTTTCGGTAAAGTCACGTTGAAGAGAAACAACAAAATAATAAAATATATATAAAACAATAAAAAAATTCTCACGACGTTTCGACCATAACTCAAACGGTCATCTTCAGGTGTGTTGGTTTGCATACATTTAGTATGCGTCCTTTCAATGGAAAGACCACCTCTGCGGTACAAAATTCTACTCACTGGTATCAACAATCAAGGGTATTTCCCTGTCCCCAGACGACCTGCTTGTCAGTTTTGATGTAGTTTCCTTATTCACCAAGGTTCCTGTACCTGACACCATTGCAATCATTGAAGACTTGGTTCATCAAGGACTAAACACTGAGGTACCCCCCCTGGTGAGACACTGTTTAACCAATACATACTTCACTTGGAATGGAACTTTCTACAAACAAACTGAGGGCACCCCAATGGGCTCCCCCCTTTCTCCAGTTATAGCTAACATTTTCATGGAGAAATTTGAGACTGACGCCATCCAGACTGCCACTCTGCGCCCAACCTTATGGAAGAGGTACGTGGATGACACTTTTGTCATCTGGCCACATGGCCGGCCTGCTCTAGACCAATTCTTCGACCACATCAATTCCATACACCCAGCCATCAGATTTACCATGGAAGTCGAAATAGATGGCAAGATACCTTTTTTGGATGTCCTAATTAAAAAGAGACCTGATGGTTCAATGAGCCACTCTGTCTACAGGAAAGCTACCCATACGGATGCTTATCTGAAACCGGATTCCCACCACCATCCATCACAGAAGAATTCTCTCATCAAGACTCTGTATCATAGAGCCCAATGCATATCCGACCAGGAACACATAAGCAGTGAACTCAAGCACGTACAACAAGCTCTTAGGGCTAATGGTTACTCCGACTATACAATCCGCAAAGCTATCACTCATACCATGAAGAAGAACCCTCTTGAGGAGCCTTTCAAAACCATCACTTTACCCTACATTGCTGGGATCACAAAAAAAAGATCTCCAAAATCTTGAATAAACACAAGATCCAGGTCCGTTTCAACACATTACATAAAATCCGTGATCTGGTTCCGTCTGTAAAAGATGTGATTCCGGACATACAATACCCTGGTGTCTACAAACTAAGTTGCCTCTGTGGTAGTAGTTACATTGGAGAAACCAAACGCCATGTCTCGGACCGCATTCGTGAACACAAAGCAGACCTTAAACACGGTAGGACCAACACCTCGGCCGTAGCAGATCATTGTTCTAATTCAGTAGGCTCACATGCCATTCACTTTTCCAAGACAGAGGTTCTTTGTAAGCCATCTGGCTTCCATGAGAGATTCGTTCATGAGGCTATCCACATATACAAGCACAGAGACAATTTCAACCGAGAAGATGGATTCTATCTTAGCAATCATTGGAAAGATTTGATAAACCATTTCAGTTCTTAATTGATTGTTCACGCTTACAGTGGCTTTCAGACAGCATACATTATAAAAATTTCATCTCCCCCATCCTCTTTTCAGAATATAGATGGACTAGTCCTGGGTAAACTGCCAAATCGCTGCGCGTGGCGCTAACGTTTTTTATAAATAAATAAATGTGCCGTTTAAAAATAAATTTATGCAAACCAACACACCTGAAGATGACCGTTTGAGTTATGGTCGAAACGTCGTGAGAATTTTTTATTGTTTTATATATATTTTATTATTTTGTTGTTTCTCTTCAACGTGACTTTACCGAAAAAACTAAGAATAAGAGCTACGTGTTGTTAGTCAGCTATTTGATACGTGTGCATTGGTGCTACCAGTGTATTATGCCCGTCTTTTTAGAATAAGCTTATAAGCAGCACTTTCATCAATAGTATTCTCATCTCATATACAGGCAAACCTCTTATTGCGCTGCCTCCGATAGCGCTGTTTTGTATCGTGCTGCGTTTCCCAAGAACGCATTGCTATAGGAGGTCTCCCTATACGTGGTATGTTGTGCTTGCAGGGCCGCATATGCGATGACATCGGTCGCAAGCTGGAATTGCTGCGAGATGCCTGGAATTCTGGGAAACTGAGTGACTTGGTCAAGAGACGGCTTGGGATGCTAGCAAACGGTAACACCAACACCATAGCCATCGACATTAACCTCAAAATGACTATCCATAACCCTTATGGTTGTGATCATGTCTTTGATATGCTTGTGTTTTTCTAGGTCGCTGTGTTCTTGTGTGTTCTTACTTGTTCCCATGAGTCATTTGTGTGCCTCTGCTTATTCCCATCGGGGCACCGCATTGGCGAGATGTTAACTGCCTCGCCTGGTATATAGGTCCTGGGTTCGATCCCAACCCTGATGCTTCTCTATATTTGAAGTTTGTGTGTCTCTTCCCGTGGTGATTATTCTCCAGGTCCTCCGGTTTTTCCCTCCACATTTAGAAACATGCGTTTAGAGTATTTGGCTGCTATAAATTTCCACATGATACACCACTTAGTTGAACTATCATTTGTGGCCAGGTGGCTTCTGAAAAATAACTATATAGCTCAGCAGGCCTTACCTTGTAAAATACAAAGTTATAGTTAGTCATATTTTCCCGCTCCTTTACGTTTTGTCTCCACTCGTCTGTGTTCATGCCAGATTTGCGGGCGAGCGCATGGACTGAGAGTGAGCGCCGTGTCGTGTCGCTCACGGTCGACCACACGAGTGAGGTGGGGCCCTTCATGGCGGCCGTCAGGAGGCTCCTGTCCGAAGCTCGCTCGCTATCGCTCCAACAGAAGCAGCAGCAGCTACAAGAACCACCAATGGAATCATGTCGTCAACAAGAAACACAACCACTGCAAGCACCGCAGCAAACAGAGCAGTCACTACCATTACCACCATCAGAACAGGATCCTGTAGACCCAGATCCAAAACTAGATCTGCCTTCTGAACAACACCTGGAGCAGCCACAATCTGAATATGAACCACTGCAGGAACAAACCCACTCACAACCAGAACCAATCGTACAACAGCTAGAACGGGTGCAATTAGATCAGTTGCCTTTGGAACAACAACTGGAACAAGCATGTCCTGAACAACCACAACCGGAACAACATCGTTGCGATTCAGAACCTCTGCCGGAGCCAGAAATGGAAGTTGAGCTGGAAGAGAAGCCAAAACTGTAACCACTTCCGGATATAAAGGAATAATTGGAAAAAAATTCGGCTGGAACAAAAAACACGAGGACTTAATTTGGATTTGGAAGTGAATGTGAAACAGGATCAGCACATGGGAGAGCATCTGGAACTGAGACTAGATCTAGAACCATAGTTGTGACTATGGCTGTGTAAATTCGCTTGGAAGGCACAGAACCAGAACCTCTGGAAGGAACTGATGCATGCCACAGTGCCGCGCACTTGCACTTACGAAAACTGGTCACTTCCATTGTTACAATTAACTGCTTTACTTTGCATTTTTAATCCCACAAAGTGCATTTTAATCTAACGCTTGAAGTTATAAATAAAATATTAACCACTCTGAAGTACTTTGCATATGCTTTGTCATGGATTAATTATCTGTCATTTTATTTAACCCAAGGGGGCTCATTGGGAAGCATTGTTTGCAGCGGAGAAACCTATGATCTTAGTACACGTTCATTATTTTAAACAATGCAATTTTACGAATAGAAGTAACAATTTTAGAGTATATAGTTTGAACCTATCTACGTGACTTTACCGAAAGACCCCGAACATATGAATTCCTGCAGTCACGAAAGCTTTAAGTAAAGATTTTAGAGTATATTCGCTGCACCCGTGGTATGGAAGTGTAGGCGAGTCGCTGCTGTGAGGTGAGCAGGGTGAATGCTGCAGGGAGCTCTGGGACTACACCATCTGCCAGAAGCTCATCGAGGCATGATTTGTGAACCTTTCCAGCTACCACACGTAACATATTTGTCTTAAAAATTCTTAATACAAACATTCTTTATTTAAACAGAGGGCTCACCGAGACCAAAAGTCACTTACAACGTGTAACCTGGCCCAGAAAGCATTACAAGTAAACAACAGTCGTTATGTCTGATATCATTAACCTTTTGTCAATTTGGTGTGAAAACAAAGCTCACAACTTTGTAATTGCACGTGTGAGACAAGGCGACATGACCCAGGTGTCGAGTTGCGAGTGGGCAGCTACAGCACGGGCGGCGTGGAGAAGAGTTTGACATGTGATCCCTTGCACTGCTTTCAGTGGCATTCATCTTTAAGCCAGCCATGAACCTGAGCAATTGGTTGCGCAACCGGTTGCTTGCCCTAGAGACACTCCAATTTCAAGCATTGATCTGCTGAGATATTTGTAGCGACGTATACCATCGCGTCACACTTGCGAACCACGGTTAACTGCAATCTTGAAAACGCTGTTTAATTTCCTTGTTGCGCGACTGCTCGGTCGGATGTGGACAAAGCAGTTTCAGGCAATTAAGTTGCGCGATTTTGACAGCGATTTGGTTGCATAACTGATCGCGTGGATGTGGACGCGACTTTACAAAGCACTGCTGCTCACTCTATTACGTCGAGTCGTGCATTTTGCCTCTTGAAATCTCAATTCGCATTGTCACAAGAACGGTACGCGTGGACTGGCTGGACGGTGAGAGATGGTGAACGTCAACCCCGAGTAATTGTAGTAAGTCAGCCTGTGACACAAGGCCAGAAAGACTCAAGCCCCCCCTTGCAATTTTCACCAATTACAACGCTTGCACACCCTCTCCCACACACACCCAACATGATGCTCGCTTAGCGTGACAGCGTCTTGATTCACAACTGCGTGTCTGACTCCACAGCACGGGACTTGCAGTTACGGTAGGATCCAGCAGACGTGGGGGCGAAATTCAACGTCGCGTGAATCCCGAGTGACCCCGAGTGACCCTGGCTGTACCCGTTCTCCAGTTCGTCGTCACCACACGCGGCACGTGTCCACCATGGCGCGGAGAGCGCGCACGAGCTCGGGGGTGACGTCGCCGCTCAGGGAGAGCGCCAGCAGCACGGGACGCCCCCCGGCCTCGCGGCTCACGTGCCCCGCCACGTTCCACGCGCACACGTGGCTCATAGGCTGCGGGGGGGCGGGGGGGGGGGGGAAACACGTGGCTCATAGGCTGCGGGGGGGGGGGGACGTGGCTCATAGGCTGCGGGGGGGAACACGTGGCTCATAGGCTACGGGGGGGGGGGGGAACACGTGGCTCATAGGCTGCGGGGGGGAACACGTGGCTCATAGGCTGCGGCGGGGGGGGGGGAACCCGGCGCCCAGAGATGTATAACGGTGAGCGGCACGGGCTTGAGAGTTGAGTGGAGTTCGCTGGCGGCCTTGAGAACGGCACCGAGCGCGGTGCGGTGGTTTGCTCACCTCGTCTTTGCCGAGCAGTACCCGCGAGTCACAAGTCGGGGGTATCCCTTGCGACCCCTGCGGTGCCGGCGACTCCGATGATCCCGGAGGCCCGTCCACTGCCGCGAGGCTCACGAGGAGGCCCAGACGCGGCCGTTGCGTGACCAACACGAGGACGCGGTCCGCGAACGCGCAGCAGAACGCGTCCGTGTGCACGCCGCCCACCACGGCGCTCGCCTGGCGCGAGCGGACAGCGTCCTCGGAGGCCATGGAGTGGACCGGAGAACTGCAGGGAGGGAAACCACGCGTTGAACGCCGGCAAAGGACTCGACACCACGTGGCGTTAAATGAATAGAAGTCGTCGTCGCCGTCACCTCGCCACCTCGTCTTTTCCGCTTTCGAGATGCGCTTCTGCGGCCGTCTGGAACGCTCTTCCGATGTTCGGAAGCCACTGGCGCTATGAACTTTTACATCTAGGTTTAAAGCGAATTTCTTCTTAACTTCGTTTTGTCTTGACTGAAAGCTTTCGTGACTGCAGGAATTCGTATTCTTTTGGGGTCTTTCGGTAAAGTCACGTAGAACATTTTTATTTATTTAAAAACTACGACGTTTCGATCGCAACACGAGCAATCGTCATCAGGAGGGATTGCTTGTGTTGCGATCGAAACGTCGTAGTTTTTTGTTATTTTTTTGTTCTACGTGACTTTACCTAAAGACCCAAAGAACATGAACTTCCTTTTGTGTTTCGTTTGTTCTTACCTCGCACCCCCATTGGCTCGATTGGTTACTTACGGTGCGAAAGAAGTTCAACATCAGTACGGCAAACATTTCGGTGACTCGGGTCACTCTTTGCAAATGAGACGGGCTATCCTGGTCTCTGTTGAGAGTTCTCCACTGGTTAAAGCAAATACACTTGAAATTAAAACAGAAAAGACGCTGCTGGCTCACATAAGCTAATGCTGCTGGATGACATTTGGTTTTGAAAGGCAGAGAGATCTTTAAATTGCGGGGCGTGAGCGGCCCTCCGTGAGCACGCAAGCCTGACTCTCTCACCTCCATGAAGAGGCACGCGTCAGGGTGGAAATTCCACATTACCGTGGCGGGGCCACCCACGAGACAGAATGTATGAGAAAGGGAGTCATTACTGTACAAGAAAAATCACGGAGCGCGCAGCCATGGCAAGGAACGAGTCCCCAGAGTGCGACATAAACCGGGGAGATGGGAGCGATAAAAAACAGTTCAGGTGCAGGTTGCCAGAGGTGGAGTATTGCAGCAGTGGATCGACCATGGCTGACAAAACGACGACAGAGTGTAACAACAGTTACAGTCAAATTACCACGCGGGTGGAGCGGCGGCCGTCAGGAAGTGACGTCACGCGCAGCCGGCGTGATGACGTAACCACGCTGCGAGCTCGGGCTCCGTCGTCCCGGTGACGCTGTCCACAGGGTCGCGCGCGTTCTCTGCGGGATGACGTAACCACGTCGCGAGCTCGGGCTCCGTCGTCATGGTGACGCTGTCCACAGGGTCGCGCGCGCCGTCGACGTGATGACGCCACCGCGTCGCCCGCGCTGCGAGGGCTCTCCGTCGCCCATGGTGACGTCTCCCGCATCCGGGCCCGTGCATTGTTCTTCCGCGTGACGTCACGCGCAGGAGTGGAGGTAAATAATGGCGTCGTGAGGGCCGCCCGCTCCATGGACCCCGCGCAATCCGTGGCATCGCGACGCCGCCGCCCGCAGTAGCCGCCTCGGATCGCGCGGAGCACGCCCCTCGCCGTGCCACGGTCACGTCCCCGCGGATATTTCCTTCTCGCGACGCACTTAGGTGAGGCAAATCCGCGGTGAAAAAATCTCGATGCCCCACCGGCGAAGGAGACGGACGGGAGAGACGAGGCCGGCTCCTCCCCTGTTTGTCAGCAGTGAGGTGTCGGCGAGTGAGTGTGCGGCGAGTGTGCGGCCCGTGTCAGCAGTGAGTGTGTCGGCGAGTGTGTCAGGTGTCGCGTTTGAGTGTCGGTGGGGGGGTGTGAGCGCGAGCGTGTTTGTGTGTCGGTGCGAGTGTCGTCGGTGTGTGATGGAGTCTGCGCGCATGAGCGCCTTGTGTGTGTGTTTGTGTAATTTTGTATATCAAGTGGGTGGGTGTATTTGTGTCGATGTTTACGTGAGTTTTGTGTGCCTTGGTGTGCGTCTTGTGTATGGGTGTTTGTGTTCGTGTGTATGTGTAGGCGTGTGTGTGCGTCTGTGTTTTTGTGTGTCTTTGTGTGCGTGTCTGGACGTGTATATGTGTGTGTGTATCTCGATTCATACGTTTGTTTTTTGTGTGGTTGTTTATTTTTGTGTATTCTGCCTATATGTTTATGCTCATGTTTGTGTATTTTGTGTTTCCGTGATTCTGCGTGTCTTTGTGTCTGCGTGTGTTTCTGCACGAGTGTATTTTACTCTCTATTTATGGGAGTGTATTTTAATCGTGTGCCGTATAGTTGTGTGTTTTATACCTTTGCGTGTGTTTTCGTGTCTGTATCTGTTTTTTGGCTGTGTGTCTGGGTGTATATATCTGCGTATGTCCGTTTTCGTGGGAACTTGAGCGCGCATGTCTGTGTATTTGTGTCTTGTATTATATGTATGCTTATTTGTCATTATTTCGCTGCTTCATATGTCTATTTGCCTCCGTTTCTTTTTGATATATATCACAGTTTTGTCTCTGCTGTAGGAGACAGAGACATGGAGCTCAGGGTCGGCAACAAATACCGCCTTGGGCGCAAGATTGGAAGCGGTTCCTTTGGTGACATCTACCTGGGTGATACGCACAACCCAGAAGACACCACGTAGCCATCATCACACCACAGTGACACAGCCATCATCACACCACAGTGACACAACCATCATCACACCACAGTGACAGCCATCATCACACCACAGTGACACAGCCATAGAGCACACCACAGTGACACAGCCATCATCACACTACAGTGACACAACCATCATCACACCACAGTGACACAACCATCATCACACCACAGTGACACAACCATCATCACACCACAGTGACACAACCATCATCACACCACAGTGACACAACCATCATCACACCACAGTGACACAACCATCATCACACCACAGTGACACAACCATCATCACACCACAGTGACACAACCATCATCACACCACAGTGACACAACCATCATCACACCACAGTGACACAGCCATCATCACACCACAGTGACAGCCATCATCACACCACAGTGACACAGCCATAGAGCAGACCACAGTGACACAGCAATCATCACACCACAGTGACACAACCATCATCACACCATAGTGACGCAACCATCATCAGACCACAGTGACACAGCCATCATCACCACAGTGACACAGCCATAGAGCACACCACAGTGACACAACCATCATCACACCACAGTGACACAACCATCATCACACCACAGTGACACAACCATCATCACACCACAGTGACACAACCATCATCACACCACAGTGACACAGCCATCATCATACCACAGTGACACAGCCATCATCACACCACAGTGACACAGCCATCATCTAACCACAGTGACACAACCATCATCACACCACAGTGACAGCCATCATCACCACAGTAACACAGCCATCATCACACCACAGTGACACAGCCATCATCACACCACAGTGACAGCCATCATCACACCACAGTGACAGCCACCATCACACCACAGTGACACAGCCATCATCACACTACATTGACACAGCCATCATCACACCACAGTGACACAACCATCATCACACCACAGTGACACAGCCATAGCACACCACAGTGACACAACCATCATCACACCACAGTGACACAGCCATAATCACACCACAGTGACACAACCATTATCACACCACAGTGACACAACCATCATCACACCACAGTGACAGCCATAATCACACCACAGTAACACAACCATCATCACACCACAGTGACACAACCATCATCACACCACAGTGACACAACCATCATCACACCACAGTGACACAGCCATCATCACACCACAGTGACACAGCCATCATCACACCACAGTGACACAGCCATCATCACACCACAGTGACACAGCCATCATCACCACAGTGACACAACCATCATCACACCACAGTGACAGCCATCATCACACCACAGTGACACAACCATCATCACACCACAGTGACACAGCTATCATCACCACAGTGACACAGCCAGCATCACACCACAGTGACAGCCATCATCACCACAGTAACACAACCCTCATCACACCACAGTGACACAGCCATCATCACACCACAATGACACAGCCATCATCACACCACAGTGACACAACCATCATCACACCACAGTGACAGCCATCATCACCACAGTAACACAACCATCATCACACCACAGTGACACAGCCATCATCACACCACAATGACACAGCCATCATCACACCACAGTGACAGCCATCATCACACCACAGTGACAGCCATCATCACACCACAGTGACACAGCCATCATCACACCACAGTGACACAACCATCATCACACCACAGTGACACAGCCATCATCACACCACAGTGACACAGCCATCATCACACCACAGTGACACAGCCATCATCACACCACAGTGACACAGCCATCATCACACCACAGTGACACAGCCATCATCACACCACAGTGACACAGCCATCATCACACCACAGTGACACAGCCATCATCACACCACAGTGGCACAGCCATCATCACACCACAGTGACACAACCATCATCACACCACAGTGACACAGCCATCATCACACCACAGTGACACAACCATCCGCACACCACAGTGACACAACCATCATCACACCACAGTGACACAACCATCATCACACCACAGTGACAGCCATCATCACCACAGTGACACAGCCATAGAGCACACCACAGTGACACAGCCATCATCACACCACAGTGACACAGCCATCATCACACCACAGTGACACAACCATCATCACACCACAGTGACACAACCATCATCACACCACAGTGACACAGCCATCATCACCACAGTGACACAGCCATAGAGCACACCACAGTGACACAGCCATCATCACACCACAGTGACACAACCATCATCACACCACAGTGACACAGCCATAGAGCACACCACAGTGACACAGCCATCATCACACCACAGTGACACAACTATCATCACACCACAGTGACACAACCATCATCACACCACAGTGACGCAGCCATCATCACACCACAGTGACACAGCCATCATCACACCATAGTGACACAGCCATCATCACACCACAGTGACACAGCCATAGAACACACCACAGTGACACGACCATAGATCATTATAAAACAAATCAAAACAATTTTCACTATTAACTATTTTTTATTTGAGCAGGTAAGGCCCACTGAGCTATACAGCTCTTTTTCAGGAGCGACATGGCCACAAATGAGAGTTCAACGACGTGGCTTATCACGTGGAACTTCTTTCGCACCTATATAGTCATAGAGCACAAACATAAACACACCATGGTGACACAAACATCAACACGCCATAGTTACAAATGATCATCACACGGTGACGTATTCACAGGACACAGGCATTGCCACAGTGACGTCTAATGGGGGTGCCACGGTAGCAAGATGTTAACTCCCTTGCCTGGAATGCAGGAGGTCGTGGGTTCGATCCCGACTCAGATGCATGTTTATTTGGAGTTTGCGTGTGTCTCTCCCCTTGGTCATGTGGATTTTTCTCCGGGTCCTCCTCTCCACATTTAGAATCAACGTGCGTTCAGTGTCTTTGGCTGCTGTAATTTTTTCACGTGATAAGCCACTTCGTTGAGCTATCGCTTGTTGTCGGGTCGTTTATGAAAAAGCGCTACATATCTCAGTGGTGTTTACCTGGTAAAATACAAAAAATAGCGAATGGATCGTAATCGTAGAACGCAGCGACACACACACACACACACGCGCGCGCGCACATCGGCACGACACAGACGACGGCGTGGACACGAGGCCGACACCAGTTGCCGGCCTCCGCCGGGAGCAACAGCCACCTCCATGTGGCCCAAACTCGGCTGCGGTTGTCGTCACAGGAGTGCGCGGGCGGTGGGGGCTGCCCACCCCAGGGTTCGTTACGTAAAGGGCAGGTCGCTCAGCTGGTCGGGCCGGTGCTGTCGCTACATTGCTTTGTGTTCTAATCCTGCTCCGTGTCGGGCGGGCGGGCGGGGGGCGGGGGCTTGCCGTTCTCTCATGCTTAAGTACGTGGTGAGTGGACTGCGTGTGTGTGTGGAGTGGCCCACGTTTGTGTGTGGAGTGGCTAACGTGTGTGTGTGTGTGTGGTCTGGCCCGTGCGCGAGTGTGGAATATCTTCTCTGTAAGGAGTGGTGGTAGCGCAGGGGTTGGTGCCCTGCGCTACGAACTAGGTGTCCTAGGGGCTATTCCTGGCCATGGCTAACACCAGTGGTGAATATCTGAACTGGTCCCAGGCTTCTCCTAGGTCTACTCAGCCTTACATTAGTACGTGGTGCAGTGTGTAAATATCAGCACTGGGGGAGACAAATTTGGCCAGGTCTGCCCACACCACCTCCTCCTGCGCCATGCTGGTGTTTGCATGCCCTCGCCCCAACAACAGCTTATGCTACACGGGAATAATGTTTGTGTTTGGAGTATCTTGGGTGGTGTGGTGTGACTTTTCTACATGTGTGTGGCATGCGAGGAGCCGTAGTGCAGCGGTTAACCCGGGGACCCGAGTTTGGCTAACACTGATGACGATTATCTGCACCAATCCTGGGCCTCCCATAGGTCGACTCGGCCTCAATTGAGTACCTGGTGCGATGCGTAAACATTGCCACTAAGCGAGAGAAAGGCGGCCGCACGTTGCGCTGTCCGCTCACCCCATCGTGTGCCATGCCGGCCTTCATAGGTGCTACTCGCTAACAGCACTTGCCCCAATAGTCTGCTTCGGTTATACGGGGGATCTTTGTCTTTTTGGCAACGACCTACACTGCAGTGGACCATCGTCCTCCACACGTTCCCTCTCGGTGGTAGCAGCAGCAGGCGCCAATGTGGGTGGGGGTCATTGGGCAGGGCTGCTAGGCGGGAGCTCTTCTCGTTAGGCTGCACTCAGGGACTCCGGTGGGGGGGGGGGGGCGTGCTGCACTCAACCTCATCACACAGTGACGCAACCCTATAACACATATCGACACGCAGTTGCCACTAGCATAGAGCACAGACCCAACGTCAACGACACGCAAACAAGAGACGCAAATGGAGGACCCAAACATCAACACGGAGAGATGAATGAAATCATAGAACACGGACACAACAATTGACGTACAATGACACATCACAGTGTCATTGTATGTTTGTGTGTTGAGTGGTGTGTGTGGCCCCTCCACACACTCAGCCTCAAATGAGTATCTGGTGTGTTGTGTAAACATTGCCACTGGGGAGACAAAGGGGGACGAGCGTGGTGCTTTTCCCACCAACCCCCTCGTGTGCTCTTCGGGCTTTCGTAAATGCTCGCTAACAACACTTGCTCCAACAGTCTGTTAAAGGCTATAGAGAGGGATCTTTGTCTTTTGTTTGTGTGTGTGTGGAGCAGGTGGCAGTGTGGGTGGGGGATGATGAGACTAGGGTGGTAGGGGCAGCTCACCCGGGGACTCTGGGGTCGTGTGGCTGCACTCAGGGCTGAGCTGCTTGCTCTGTGGGGGGTTTCGCTATCGAGGGGTAAATTGACTCTGGAACGGGGATTGTGGGAGCACTGAGCTCACTGATCCCCTGTGCCGTTGTTATGGAAACGCTGTGATGAGCAACGTCGCCCTCAATTGTTGTCATAACAATAATTGTAATAAATGTCTGCTATGAACAAGGGCCATTGCCCGAAACGTCGCCTGTTATGTGTTATTTTCCTTTTAGGGCAGTGTTGGTCATGATGAAAGTGTTCGGTTTCTGTTCATTGTGCTTGTGCACCACTGCCAATGCAGTTTAGTTTAATTTAGGTGACTGCTAGGGATGTGTTGTTGATTTTCGGCATAACCTGCACAAAAAAATAAAAATCAAAATTTAGCGTCTAGAAACCAAATTTCAGATGATCAGGGAAAACGTCATTCTTTGGGCCTTATCCGGAAACGTGACGACGTCAGGGCAAGTCACGGCGCATTACCGACGTCCCGTGCAAGGTTTTCTCATCTCACGTGGTGTGCTGCTTTGCCATTGGGAGACGTCACTTTCGTCAGCACAAAATTCAGGTTGAACTGGTACGTAGCGTATGTGATCTGAAAATCAGAAGTTCTGATTTAAAAAAAAAACTGCAATTCGATTTTTTTCAATAACCTGAACTCATCCTCTGCTCATATCTGCATTGCTGCTTAAAACGTTTTTTAAAATTTCATTCGTACACATGTAATTGTGTAATAAAGACAACTGTTTGTAACCCAAGTCCAGCCACTGCTATTGAGGGTGTGTGGTGACTATTGAAGTGTATTTCGTTGGGATGTACTGAATATTCGACTTCATGTAAAATCTTCGCTGAATTAAGATTATTTAAATAATATATGTATATTTTCTTATTCAGCCGTATGTATTCAAATTAACTTTCATTTCAAATCATTTTTAAAATCACATTTTAATATTATCGCAGTCCCTGACCCACCACTCACGATCATTAAGGACCTTTATGATGGTAGGCAGGCCCGGGCAAAGCTGCATTTTCTGGGTGTTGTAACCATTTCTTTTTACCTTGGGGTGCAACAGGGATGTCCTCTGGCCCCTAAACTATTTAACATTTCTTTACCACGTAATTTGAGAATGAATGGCTTTACCAGAGGAATTTACATCTGGTATAGATACAGTGGGAGGCTGATTGATGTCTCGGTGAGGTTGATGGATGGCTCCCTGCTGATGAACGATATTTTATTTATGTTGATGACTTGGTAATTGCTGCTCACTCTATAAAATGAGGTTGGAGGCTCTCCTGAACCTGGTGCTTGGTCACAATTGTGCCTCACAGCAAGAAGTTATTGGATTCAACTTTCAACTCCTGACTGGAGAACCTTTCATTGTGGAGCCTGTATGTTCTCTCTCGGTTCTGTTATAGTTCCCTCTAGGTTTTCCGGTTTCCATCTGTAGCTAAAATAAAACTACATACGCTGTAACTAGTGTTGGCCGCATGACATCGCTCATGCTGAAAAATTACCTGTTAAATTACACAATTGGGATTGCGCACAGCAGCATCATCGCTCCCGAGCGCGAAAAAAACACGACTGAAAAATGGTTTTTACAACGAGTGAGTCTAAATGGGTAAACAATCAATGTATTATTATTATTGATAAACGGTTGGGGGGCTTACTGTCATTCCCACCATGTGTTTGAACACTCCACCCCATCACATCTCCCCGAGCACCGGCGTGGTTGTGGTTGTGGAGATGGTGGAGGAGTTACCGTGTCCCACATTCCCGTGTTGAGCCGGCGGTGACCGCAAGTACGCTCGGACTGGCCATAGGGCAGCAGTCCGGGCAAATGCCCGGTGGGCCGGTCCATTCTGAGGGCTGCTGGACCGGTCTTTGTGGGGAAATGGAAAATGTGATTAGAATAAAAAAAATGTTATTACCTCTAATGTGTATGCTTCATTACTTATTTATGCTCTCAGTTGGCATTAAATCCCATATTTGGCAGCTCCAAATATTCTTCTTCACCGGCCGATTTGTTTTTTGGGCCAGCCCAAATCGGCTAATGAGATCGCACGGCAAAAATCACGCTAATACGTTGCCACATCGCACATCTAGCTACTAGTCCACAGTTTGTCGCACAACCCAATGAAAAACACACTTGTCCATAGCCCGAATTTGAGCCGCTGTGTTTACAAATGTCTGGGCCGATTCTGAGGGCCAGTGGACCGGTCTGTCACTGGCTGCACGCTTTTGCCGCGTGCCCGGCGGGTGGCGTGCGCGGACGCTCGTCGGTAACTGGCGCGCGGGATGGTCTCCTCTCCTCCTTGTTCGCAGGAACCAACATCGCCACGGGGGAGGAGGTGGCCATCAAGCTGGAGTGCGTGAAAACTAAGCACCCGCAGCTGCACATCGAGAGCAAGTTCTACAAGATGATGCAGGGTGGAGGTACACCACCCACAAAGACAAATATCCCCCGTGTAGCCTTAATATACTGTTGCGAGTGCTGTTAGCGAGCACCTATGAAGGCCGGCATGGCACACGAAGGGGTGGGTGGCCAGCACCACACCCAACTGCCTTTCACTCCCCAATGGTGATGTTTGCACGTCGCACCAGGTATTCGTTTGAGGCCGAGGCAACCTAGAGGAGGCCCAGGACCAATTCAGATAATCGTCACTGGTGTTGACTTGTGAGTGGGAATCGAACTCGATTTTCCGGGTTCATAGCGCAGCGCGCTAACTGTTGCACTATGCTACCTCACATCTGCCCACACCCTCGCACCCCTCCACTCCCCTCCGCTCCCCACCCATCTCCACCTCACCACTCTCCACCCCCACCACTCTCCACCCCCTCCACACCCATCCACTCTGCGTCCATCCACAGTGGTCTCTGTTGGGCAAGGCGACAGGAATCTCCGCCTGGCAGTCGCGCTTTAACACAAAAGACCTCGGTGATGCGGATTGGATTATGACATCCAGCGCTGCAGCGTGACCTTGTTGCTGAAAGGCTGTAGGAATACTAAAACGCAACTGGGACATAACACCGTTATTGTTAAGCAGACATTAGACAAATGTTGAGTAAGAATTCAGCAAGGGTGGGGGGGGGGGGGGTGCTCTGCCTCCTTCAGACCACCCACCCCACCCCTCACCCTCTATCCCCCCAACCCCCCTACCCCGTCACTGCGGGGGCTGATGGCATTTGAGGCTGGGCTAGTTTTCAAACTCGGGTCAATCCCCGCAGCTGTGCGGCTGCCTCCCTGCCGCCCGACAGTAGCGCAGGGCGTCCTGCTCTATGCAGCACACGCATGAGGTTCGTGTACTTACCAACGCAAGGCCCCAACTCGATACTTAGGGCCTCCTGCCCTGTGCAGCACCCGCAGGAGGAACGTGTACTTAGATAGAAACGCACGGGTCATGCGTGTTGCACCCGTCAACTGAACCCGACACTGGACGCCCCCGAGCTGCACTGCCTGTCTCTCCGTTGTGTGTGTGTGTGTGTGCTCGTGGGCAGCAGTGGCGTAGTGGTTAGCACGCTGCGCTATGAGACCGGTGGCCCAAGATCGATTACCGCTCACGGCCAACATCGGTGACCATTATACTGACCGATCCTGGGCTTCCCCTAGGTCAACTCGGCCTAAATTGAGTACCTGGTGTGGTGTGTAAACATCACCACTCGGGAGAAAAAGGCGACCAGGTGTGGTGATGGCCACCCACCCCCTTCGTGTGCCGTGCCGGCCTCCATAGGTGTTAAGCTTTTACAGGGGATCTTCTTCTTTGTGTACGCGCAGGAGTCGTGGTGCAGTGGTTGATGCGCTGCACTGTGAACCGGGCGACGTGGTTTAATTTACAGCCACGGTTGACATCAGTTACAAGTGGTGTCCGAACCCATGCTGGACATCCCTAAAGCCAACTCAGCCTCAAATGAGTACCCAATGTGGTGTGTAAACATCGGCACTTGGGAGAAAAAAGCGCCCTGGTTGTGATGCGTGATCCTGGTCATACCACCACCCTGTGCGCCATTCTGGCCTTCATGGGCGCTCGCTGATAGCATGTTCTCCAAATCTTGAAGACTAAAAACAGGGTGTCGTTGACTTTGTGTGTGTGTGTGTGCCACAGTGGGAATCCCCACTATCAAGTGGTGCGGTGCAGAGGGCGACTACAACGTGATGGTGATGGAGCTGCTGGGGCCCAGCCTGGAGGACCTCTTCAACTTCTGCTCCCGCAAGTTCAGCCTCAAGACTGTGCTGCTGCTCGCCGACCAGATGGTGGGTGCCTCTCTCCCTCGCAGGGGCTCCCCACAGTTGAAACTAAACTAGACTTTTTTTTTTGACTACGTAAGGCCCACTGAGCTATGTGTAGCTCTTGTTCAGAAGCGACCAGGCTATGACGTAGCGGCTTATTATTACGTGGACATTTATAGCAGCCAAATATTGTGAACGGACCTTGATTCTCAATGTGGAGGGAAAAACCGGAGGACCTAGAGGCAAAATCCACGTGACCACGGGAAGAGAAATACGAAAACTCTAAATATACAGGAGGCGTCAGGGTAGGGATCAAACCCACAACTGCCTGCATACCAGGCGAGGGAGTTAACATCGCCGTCCTCACCCCTCACTGCCTCCACTGGGGCCCGTTGCCCCCTCCCTGACACTGTAGCAGTCCTTGGCGCACACTGAGCAAGTTCCATTCATTCTGTGCGCGAGCAGATCAGTCGCATCGAGTACATCCACTCGAAGAACTTCATCCACCGCGACATTAAACCCGACAACTTCCTCATGGGGCTGGGCAAGAAGGGGAACCTCGTCTACATCATCGACTTCGGCCTGGCCAAGAAGTACCGCGACGCGCGCACGCACCAGCACATTCCCTACCGCGAGAACAAGAACCTGACGGGCACGGCGCGCTACGCCTCCATCAACACCCACCTCGGCATAGGTACGGCATCGACATCCATCTATCAACACTCACCTGGTCATAGGTACAACGCTACCCCTCCAATTTCCATCAACACACACCTGGTCATGGGTACAACAACGACATCATACGTCAACACTCACATGGTCACAGGTACGGCGCTACACCGACCATGGACAGCGCTAGTTCCTGTTGCTTCGCCCCGTGCTTTCACCTCCCCCGGCATTCCCCTTGGCGTGGCCACACGGTGGGAGTGTGTACCGAGGGCCCTGACCCGCCATGGCCCTCCCGTTTTGCGCCACAGAGCAGAGCCGGCGGGACGACCTGGAGTCCCTGGGCTACGTGCTCATGTACTTCAACCTGGGCTCACTGCCCTGGCAGGGCCTCAAGGCGGCCACCAAGCGCCAAAAGTACGAGCGCATCAGCGAGAAGAAGATGTCCACGCCCATCGAGGTGCTCTGCAAGGGATACCCCTGTGAGTGACGCGCTGCCGTGCGCCGCCGCGGTGGCGACGGTGCTGACGGTGGCTGTGGCTCTTGCGACGGCGGCGACTGTTGTGGCGGCAGTGGTGGTGGCGGTGGTGTTTTGCTAAGTGCCTCTGCGGTGAAAACGCACACTTTTACATGCGCGGTTTACATGCAGATGTAAACACCGCTACGTTTCATCTTTCTCATGGTTTTAAGCGGAGGGGTTGACTGTTCTTTGTTTTAAATTAGACCAACATTGCCCACGCATGTGAATTGGATACACGGCCCAGGGTGGAGGGTGGTTGGTGGGGGAGGCGTGATGTCACCACCGTGCACTTGCCCGCACGTTCTAGCCATCCAGCAGAACCTTAAAATATAAAAGGACTTCAAAAGCTGTTATCGATACACACACTGCTCTGTTGTCCAGTTGTGTGTCTGACAGATACCTCCAAATGTCAGTATACCTGTTGAACCTTGACCTTTGCTTTTATCAAAATAATTAAGTTCAAACATTTCCTGAATTAGACCTGTAAAAGATTAAACCCAATGATGAAAGATAGTGGACAATAGGCATGTGACAATTATTTATTCAATGATTGGTCATTATTCAAAACAGAATAAAAAGGCCGTAGCCATGGAGTCAACATTGGGGGAGACCAAATCTTCCAGGGGGTCTGGGGGTCCCCCCCCCCCCCCAGAAAAAAAAACTAAATTTGAAAACGAATTTCCTGCCTAAAATATACAAAAATTCACTAACACATGGGATAGACTTTTTATTTTATTTTTTACAATAATGTCTAATAGTGTATTGTATTACATTGCTTTGTTTTTACTTTTTTACCTTTTCTTGTATCATTGTAATGGCAGATATTAGGGATTAATGAAGTACAACCATAACCACAATCATATAAACAGAAATCTATTATATAGAAATTTAGTGGGGGGGGGACATTTTGAGCAATATATATTATAATTACGGCCTTGAATTATAATATTCCAACATGGCGAATGTGAAATCCGTATTGGCGGCAGATGAAAATAAATAAATCCATTAAATAGTTCGATGCGCATATTGTGACCATGAGAATTGACGCTTACCCGATGAAGCTATGATGCATCGTTACACACCTCGTGTTTCCATAGCCTGAGTCGCTCCACGGTTGCCGCCCCCCAACTCCCGCGTCGAGCTGCGTGTCACTGTGTGCCATCTCCCCCTACTTGCTCCCTCGTCGAGCTGCGTGTCACTGTGTGCCATCTCCCCCTACTCGCTCCCTCGTCGAGCTGCGTGTCACTGTGTGCCATCTCCCCCTACTCACTCCCTCGTCGAGCTGCATGTCACTGTGTGCCATCTCCCCCTACTCCCTCGTAGAGCTGCGTGTCACTGTGTGCCATCTCCCCCTACTCACTCCCTCGTAGAGCTGCGTGTCACTGTGTGCCGTCCCCCCCCCTGCTCCCTCGTCGAGCTGCGTGTCACTGTGTGCCATCTCCCCCCTACTCACTCCCTCGTAGAGCTGGGTGTCACTGTGTGCCATCTCCCCCCTACTCACTCGCGCGTCGAGCTGCGTGTCACTGTGTGCCATCTACCCCTACTCGCTCCCTCGTCGAGCTGCGTGTCACTGTGTGCCATCTCCCCCCTACCCACTCCCTCGAGCTGCGTGTCACTGTGTGCCATCTCCCCCTACTCCCTCGTCGAGCTGCGTGTCACTGTGTGCCATCTCCCCCCTACTCACTCCCTCGTCGAGCTGCGTGTCACTGTGTGCCATCTCCCCCTACTCACTCCCTCGTAGAGCTGGGTGTCACAGTGTGCCATCTCCCCCCTACTCCCTCGTAGAGCTGGGTGTCACTGTGTGCCATCTCCCCCCTACTCACTCCCTCGTCGAGCTGCGTGTCACTGTGTGCCATCTCCCCCTACTCACTCCCTCGTCGAGCTGCATGTCACTGTGTGCCATCTCCCCCTACTCCCTCGTAGAGCTGCGTGTCACTGTGTGCCATCTCCCCCTACTCACTCCCTCGTAGAGCTGCGTGTCACTGTGTGCCGTCCCCCCCCCTGCTCCCTCGTCGAGCTGCGTGTGACTGTGTGCCATCTCCCCCTACTCACTCCCTCGTAGAGCTGGGTGTCACTGTGTGCCATCTCCCCCCTACTCACTCCCTCGTAGAGCTGGGTGTCACTGTGTGCCATCTCCCCCCTACTCCCTCGTAGAGCTGCGTGTCACTGTGTGCCATCTCCCCCTACTCGCTCCCTCGTCGAGCTGCGTGTCACTGTGTGCCATCTCCCCCCTACCCACTCCCTCGAGCTGCGTGTCACTGTGTGCCATCTCCCCCTACTCCCTCGTCGAGCTGCGTGTCACTGTGTGCCATCACCCCCCTACTCACTCCCTCGTCGAGCTGCGTGTCACTGTGTGCCATCTCCCCCCTACTCACTCCCTCGTCGAGCTGCGTGTCACTGTGTGCCATCTCCCCCCTACTCACTCCCTCGTCGAGCTGCGTGTCACTGTGTGCCATCTCCCCCCTACTCACTCCCTCGTCGAGCTGCGTGTCACTGTGTGCCATCTCCCCCCTACTCACTCCCTCGTCGAGCTGCGTGTCACTGTGTGCCATCTCCCCCCTACTCACTCCCTCGTCGAGCTGCGTGTCACTGTGCCGCCCCATGCCCACCCGCCCCCTGCTGTCCCCCCCGCAGCCGAGTTTGCGACATACCTCAACTTCTGCCGCTCGCTGCGATTCGACGACAAGCCCGATTACTCGTATCTGCGGCAGCTCTTCCGCAACCTCTTCCACCGGCAGGGCTTCTCCTACGACTACGTGTTCGACTGGAACATGCTCAAGTTTGTGAGTGCACGCACGGTTGCGCGCGTCTCAACCCGGCTGCGCCGCAGCGCGCACCGCAGTGGTTGACGAGACGGCGCTCACCGATTGGCTCCTCCAGTCATTCGCTCAACGGCGAGCAGTCGCCTCCTTGTACTATAGACGCTCAATAGCATCACTTCGCCCAAGTATCCCTAACTTGTATTCTGGTTAAATGAAGGACCTTTGTTTTTTGTAATTGATATTATTGATACACGCTGGGGATGCGCTCGTATTGATCAAAATAATTTGTCATGTTCCCAAAAATATATTTCGGCTCAAACCACAAACTGGAAGTGGTGTCACTAGCACGACTTCACATCCGTGGTTTTCCCACCAAAAATGGTGGTACAATGGCATTGGGTGATGTCACTTTTGTTAGCATGTGGACTACGGTGCCACTCAGTATGTATGTTGAACTTCTTTCGCCACCGAACGTAGTCAACATCGGAGGTGCGGGGGAAGGACAATAAAACTAAAGCACAAAAAGGAGTTCTCAAGAAATTAGTTTTCAATCGAGATGATTTCGAAGTGCACGGCTGCAGTGGCTTTCTCATATCGGAAGGAAGAGCGTTCTAGACAGCCATAGAAGCGCACCTGAAAGCACGCGATGCGGTAACCGTCTTTGTTCGATGGTTTGCCAAAAGCCGCTGCGAGGATGACCAGAGTTTGCGTGATGGTTTGTGTTCCTTGACGAGATCAGCAAGTTGTTGTGGTTCATTTGCGGCAAGCACTTTGTGTGTAATGTAGTTCTTGTTTTACATTTTTAAAATGATTTATATCTATTGCGGTTTAATAATGTTCGTTGTTTATGTGCAACATTGTTTACATTTAATGGTGAAGTTCCAACGGTAAAACAGTAATTTGTGTGAAAGTAGTGGAACTGATTTCTAAACAGTGTTGAACCAGTGTGGAATGGAAGTGGAACGAGTGTGGAACGAGTGTGGAACGAGCGTGGAACGAGTGTGGCACGAGCGTGGAACGAGCGTGGAACGAGCGTGGAACGAGCGTGGAACGAGTGTGGAACGAGCGTGGAACGAGTGTGGAACGAGTGTGGAACGAGCGTGGAACGAGTGTGGAACGAGTGTGGAACGAGTGTGGAACGAGCGTGGAACGAGCGTGGAACGAGCGTGGAACGAGCGTGGAACGAGCGTGGAACGAGTGTGGAACGAGCGTGGAACGAGCGTGGCACGAGTGTGGAACGAGTGTGGAACGAGCGTGGAACGAGCGTGGAACGAGCGTGGAACGAGTGTGGAACGAGTGTGGAACGAGTGTGGAACGAGCGTGGAACGAGCGTGGAACGAGCGTGGAACGAGCGTGGAACGAGCGTGGAACGAGTGTGGAACGAGCGTGGAACGAGTGTGGCACGAGTGTGGCACGAGTGTGGAACGAGCGTGGAACGAGCGTGGAACGAGCGTGGAACGAGCGTGGAACGAGAGTGGAACGAGCGTGGAACGAGTGTGGCACGAGTGTGGAACGAGTGTGGAACGAGCGTGGAACGAGCGTGGAACGAGCGTGGAACGAGCGTGGAACGAGCGTGGAACGAGCGTGGAACGAGTGTGGAACCAGTGTGGAACCAGCGTGGAACGAGCGTGGAACGAGCGTGGAACGAGTGTGGAACGAGCGTGGAACGAGCGTGGAACGAGTGTGGAACGAGTGTGGAACGAGCGTGGAACGAGCGTGGAACGAGCGTGGAACCAGCATGGAACCAGTGTGGAACCAGCGTGGAACGAGTGTGGAACGAGCGTGGAACGAGTGTGGAACGAGTGTGGAACGAGCGTGGAACCAGTGTGGAACGAGTGTGGAACGAGCGTGGAACCAGCGTGGAACCAGCGTGGAACCAGCGTGGAACCAGCGTGGAACCAGCGTGGAACCAGCGTGGAACCAGCGTGGAACTGTCCGCGCACCCGGGTGTGAGTCCAGCTCGTGCGAGGATCCTGCGTTACTGTCTCGGCTGTGCTGCAGGGTGGGGGCCGCAGCCACGAGGAGGCGGAGCGCGAGCGCCGCGAGCGCGAGCGCGAGGAGCGCATGCAGCGCGCGGTGCCCGCGAGGGCGGCGCCCAGCGCGCCCGGCCCGCGTGGCCGCAGCACCCAGGACGCCGTGACGCCCGTGTCGCCGGGACCACAGACGAGTGCGTGAGGGGGCCACGGGCGGGCACGGGGGGGGGAGCACGGGCGGGCACGGGTGGCATGGGCACACGGTGGGAGTCCGGGGGGGGGGGTCACGAGGTGCACGGGGGGGGGGGGGGGGCACCGTGGTTACGAGGGAGGCACGGGGGACACGGGGGAAATGGAGACACAGAGAGATGTGGGAGGGGGAATGTGAACACGATGGTGTTGGGGCAGGGGTACATGGACAAAATAGGGACACATACACCCGGGGACATGGAAATATGGAAACATAGAGACCCGGGGACACAGGGACAAAGATATATGGGGCCATTTGCACACAATGGCACTTGTAGACAATGGCATTTGGACACGGACATGGCGACACGTTGCTGATTGGGAGTGATGAGTGAGTTGAGTGGGTAGGGGAGTATCTGTAAATGGAGTCAGGCAAGGCAAATCGATCGTGAGTCAGCAAGTAGGTGGTGAATGCGTGCGTGTTGAATGAGAGGAACGGTGGTTACAACTGGACATCTGTGAAAGAGCTTCATAGCTCATCAGATTCTGATTCTGACTGTGAATGCGTGCGTGGTGACTCGGCTAAGGTAGTGGTGTGTAGAGAACCAGTTTGCCGCGGTATTATTTCTCACGGTACGGACGCCACACGATCTCGTTTGCCGTCACCGCCATGCGTCAGGTTGTCCCGCGACAGAGTAAAATCGGTGCTATGCGTCCCCACCCCTCCCCCCCCCCCGTAGCGAACACATCCCCGCGGCCGCTGTCGCGGACGGAGCGCGAGCGCCGCGTGTGCATGAGGCTTCACCGTGGGGCCCCCGCCAACGTGTCCTCGTCCGACCTCACCGCTCGGCCCGAGATGACGCGCATGTCCACCTCACAGGTGGGGAGGCCACGCTCGCGTTCGCTCGCGACGTTGTGCTCTCGTACAGTCACCCGCAACGTTGTGCACTCGCAGCATTGTCCACGCGCACGTTCACTCGCAACGTTCACTCGCAACGTTCACTCACGTCCACTCGCGACGTTGTCCACTCACAATGTTGTCCACTCTTACATTCGCTCGCAATGTCGTCCACTTGGAACGTCGTCCGCTCGCAACGTCGTCCGCTCGCAACGTCGTTCACTCGCTCGCACACCAGCTTGGACACGTATGCTCGACTTGTTCACTCGCGACTCAACGTCGTTATCTCATTAGTGAGTACTGCGGGGGTGCGATGACCGATACGGTACGTGCTGTTGCAGCTGACGGCGCGTACCGGAGGCCAGTTGTCTGTATTTGAAAAGGTTGCTCGCAAGTTGCTTAAAATGCAGAGCAGTCGTCATCCCCCACTACTACTACTGTGAAAATCTGGCATTACTCAATAAGGATTTCCTGTGTAAATGAGCGAAATTTTGATTTAAAGCTTTCGTGACTGCAGTAATTCATATTCTCAGCTCTTTCGGTAAAGTCACGTTGAAGGGAAACAATAAAATAATAAAATATATATGAAACAATAAAAAATTCTCACGACGTTTCGACCATAACACAAACGGTCATCATCAGGTGTTATGGTCGAAACGTCGTGAGAATTTTTTATTGTTTTATATATATTTTATTATTTTATTGCTTTCCTTTCAACGTGACTTTACCGAAAGAGCTAAGAATATAAATGAGCGAAGTTCACTCCCACGTTATGTCACGCTAACCCGCATATTTACTCGTGCTCGCATTCACTCACTCGCATTAATTCACACTGACGTTCACTCGCGTTCACACACACTCGCGTTCACTCAAATTCGCGTGCCCGCACCCTCGAACACGGAAAGCTCGCTCTCCACCGCTGGTGTCCCTGTGCTCCCGGCCACGTTGGTTGCCGTGTGAGTGTGAAGGCCTCGGTTGAACGCCCTCTCACGCGCGACTCCTGCCCCGTGTCTCCGTGCTCTCGCCACAGACGAGCATTCCCTTTGACCACCACGGCAAGTAGGCCTTCCTCCCACTACTGGTCGTTTTGAGCGTGGTGAGTCATGCGCAACGGATCACCTCTATACATTGTACCACACATCCCCTCTCTCCCTGTACCACACATCTCCTGCCTCTCTCCCCATACCACACATCTCCTGCCTCTCTCCCCATACCACGCATCATGCTGTCAACATGCTCCTGTGTTGCCTAGTGTTGCTTCGTTTAACCGGAGTGACGGGCCCTAACCGGCATTACCTATCCTTGCAAATGTTTAGCTTAACTCCATGTAATTTTTTTCCAATGCGATTTTATTTTGTTACGGATTTTTTAAAAAGTACTTTAACCAAGCCAATGAATGTGCTGATTTGCACAGAAGTGTTGTGACCTGCAGTGTTACAGTGGTGGTTGAGTGTGACAGATAAGACAAGACGAGGCTGTCTTGTAGACCGAGTTTTCAGCACGGGAGGAGGGAATCTGAGTGAAGTTTACGCAGACGCTAACTAACCACGATAGTGGCAATAGCAGAGCGATTACTGAACCTGGTTACACTCGACAAACGTTAAACGTTACCCGTGTTACGTGCCTCGCCTGCTTGAGTGTGCGTGCATGTGCGTGCTCATGTGTGTGCTTCGCAGTTTGGTCCCGCGCTCTAATCGGGGCCAAGGCCTGAAGAGGTGACCGGGCCCCCTGAACCTCTGCGCACGCACGTGATGACGAGGCGTCAGCCCCACCTCCTCCTCGCCCCTCGGGGGGGTGGACCGAGACCAACAGCGAATTGGGGCGGGCCTCTTTGGCGTTGTGGCGGCGTCCGTTGGAGTATCCAAGCGGAGGGTGCTTAGTGATCGTGTGTATGTCCTTCACAGGTGTATTACGCCGTTTTGTTTTCCCGTCTGGTGTTGAGAGTTAGGCCGTGCAGAGCCCCCAGTGTCGTAGGCAGCCACGTCGAGCAGGGTGCGAGCCTCTGCAGCTCCTTCTGTCTGTACGATGCTTCTCCAGCAGTCACAGTAGTGTTCTAGACCTGCAGTGCTTTCTATGCAGTGTAAATAGCTTTATTTCTTTTTTTATTATGACTTTCCAAATCGCTGTGTTCAAGAGGACCCACTAGAGTGGCGAAGCTGTAGCTGTCGTGTGGTGTAGCTGTAGTCCAAGGCGGTGGTTTTTCATGTAGCCCAAGTAGACTTGGTTATCGTTGTGACGAGGGAACAAGCGTTAGTTACATCACGTGACAATTGATTCTGAATAAGACCCCTGTGCTCTGATGGTTTTTATAAATGTAACCAGGGAGTGCACCCACCGCTCTTATCACGCCCCCTGCCCCCTCCTCTCAGATCTGTCTCCACTGTCCCTCTGATCACTTCACCCTGCCTCTGATCACTCTCTCCTGCCCCTCTGATCACTCCTCCCTGCCCCTCTGATCACTCCTCCCTGCCCCTCTGATCACTTCACCCTGTCCCTCTGATCATTTCCCCCTGCCCCTCTGATCACTCCTCCCTGCCCCTCTGATCACTTCACCCTGTCCCTCTGATCACTTCACCCTGCCCCTCTGATCACTTCACCCTGCCCCTCTGATCACTTCACCCTGCCCCTCTGATCACTTCACCCTGCCCCTCTAATCCCTCCCCCCTGCCCCTCTGATCACTTCACCCTGCCCCTCTGATCACTTCACCCTGTCCCTCTGATCACTCCTCCCTGCCCCTCTGATCACTTCCCCCTGCCCCTCTGATCACTCCTCCCTGCCCCTCTGATCACTCCTCCCTGCCCCTATAATCCCTCCCCCCTGCCCCTCTGATCACTTCCCCCTGCCCCACCGATCACTTCACCCTGTCCCTCTGATCACTTCACCCTGCCCCTCTGATCACTTCACCCTGTCCCTCTGATCACTTCACCCTGCCCCTCTGATCACTTCACCCTGTCCCTCTGATCACTTCACCCTGCCCCTCTGATCACTTCACCCTGTCCCTCTGATCACTTCCCCCTGCCCCTCTGATCACTCCTCCCTGCCCCTCTGATCACTCCTCCCTGCCCCTATAATCCCTCCCCCCTGCCCCTCTGATCACTTCACCCTGCCCCTCTAATTCCTCCCCCCTGCCCCTCTGATCACTCCTCCCTGCCCCTCTGATCACTCCTCCCTGCCCCTCTGATCACTCCTCCCTGCCCCTATAATCCCTCCCCCCTGCCCATCTGATCACTTCCCCCTGCCCCTCCGATCGCTCCTCCCTGCCCCTATAATCCCTCCCCCCTGCCCCTCTGATCACTTCCCCCTGCCCCTCCGATCGCTCCTTCTGCCTCCCAGCCCTGCCCTCCTGCTGTGCTTGCCGCCCCGTGCGATGCTGCCCTCGCTTGTTTTACTTCCCCCCCGTCCCCACCTCCCCTGCTCGTGTCTCCCTCCCTTCAAAGTCGTCACGTCTGTCCGTTAGTAGCTGTGTTCCGCACTAGTCCAAATGGCTCGCCGTTTTTTATTTTGTGTTTTATTTACGTAACTTATTTAATAAATTACCCTCGCTCCAGCCCTGTTTTTACTCCCAAAGCTGATAACAGACCCCCCACACCCCATCCGCCCACCCCCCTTGCTCCATGTTAGCAGATCCGCGGGGAGCCCCCGCCCCCCCCCCCCCCCCGTATCTGGACATCTGTGAAAAGGAACTTCGTAACGCATCGGATTCCTCCTCCGGTCGAAATAAAGATTCTTGATTCTGAACTGTGAGGCACATGGCGGGGGGGGGGGAGCTGCTGTGAGGGATGATGGAGGGAGCCACGCGGGTACGTGTAGGAGTCACGTGACCTTCGAGAGGCAGTCGCGCATTTGCGATCACCGAGTCAACACGTGCTGCCCCCCGCTGCCCCCGCTGCCGCTCGCTGCCCCCTGCCCCCCCTTACCGTTGCACACCTCCTCCCCTAACTCCCCATAGTGTACAGTTCACTGCGACCCAAATCAGAACCCCCTCCACCCTCTCACTGCTTTTGCAGCCTCCGTTTTTTGATTGTTGCATGTACAGCCACTTTTAGTAACATTTTGTGTAATGTCATTATTATTATTTACTATTTGTAATTGAAATGTATTTGTGTACGCAATACTTGTAAATAAAAAGGACTGCACATATGTCTGGCATGTTGTGTGTGTGTATGTTGAACTTTTGCGCCGTACGTAGCCGACCGTGCTAATCGGGTGTTATGTCACGTACAGTGGTAAGGGGCCGTCCATAAATGACGTCACGCACCTCGGGGGGGGGGGGGGGGGTAAGACATTTGTGACGCTGTGTGACGAGGGGGGGGGGGTCAAAAATCGTCCAAAATCGCGTGACGTCATTTATGGACGGCCCCTAAGCGTACACACTGGTTTTGCGTGTCCTGCGCTATTCCGTGTCTCGTCTATACCGTGGCGGTGCAGTGTGTCCACCTGTGGCACTTGTCTGTGCTGTGGTGTGTTGTGTGTACTGTGCGACTACTATGGCATTGCTTAACCATGCCGCGTGTTCATTGGATGCTGGATCTCGGTGGCGTGAGAAGGGTCCTTTGGTGGTGAGATGTTAACTACCTCGCTGGGTGTACGGGGGGTCGGGCCCTACCCTGATGCGTGTATATTTGGAGTTTGCATGGCTGTCCCCGTGGGCGCGTGGATTTTTCTTCGGGTCCTCCCGGTTCCCCCCCCCCCCGCCACATTATGAAACATTTGGCTGCTATACATTTCCACGTAATAAGCCACTTCAGTTATCATTTGTGGCCAGGTCGCTTCTGAAAAAGAGCTACACAGCTCAGTGGGGCTTCCCTGGGTAAAAAAAAAAAATAGTTTAAAGATTCTGGACTCTTGACCACTGTGGTGCACTTCTCTGTAGTGGAACGTCTTGGCCCATTTCCCACTGGCACATCCGAGCCGAACTAGCGCGGGCCCATTCGTGGCATTGGTGGTATTCTTTTCCCACTGGCTTTTGACGAGCCGGAACCAAACCGTGATATGTTGGCCTCGCAAGACATCTCAATCTGGGCGGGGGGGTGGGTGGTGGCTGGGGGGGGGGCGGCGCGCAAGGGGAAGAGGCATGACGTCGGCACACAGCGTCACTGCCCAAGAAACTTTCACCGTTGTTTCAACGTCCGAAAAAGAGCTTAATAGCTCATCGGATTTCTCTAGTATAAATACAGGTTCCGATTCTGAATCGAACTCTGGATGGAATTCCAGTGTTGCTCATATATACACCGTTGTAGTTCCCTTCGTTGAATGCTCTCAGAATAAAATAAAAAATATTTGCTGGCTGGCTGGAGGGACGGACGAACACGTGGCGAGACGTTAACTACGTCGCCTTGGTATACAAGAGGACGCGAATTGGATCCCGACCCTGACACCGGTCTGTTTGGAGTTCGTGGTGTCTCTCCCCGTGGTCGCGTGGATTTTTCTCCCGAGTCCTCCGGTTTTTTTTCCCTCCACATTTAGAAACATGCGTATGTGGCTGCTGTAAATTTCCACGCGACAAGCCACTTCGTCGAGCTATCGATTTGTGGTGAGATCACATCTGAGAATGAACTAGCTCAGTAAGACCTTACCTGGCAGGTAAGTTAATCATTGTACGTTTATTGGTCGAGGCCGTTTTTTCACCAATTTATTTTCCCCATGCGATTATTGGTTAGGCCAAAAACAAACTGACGAAACTACGTCGCTCGAGATGCGTAGGGTGAAGATGTTTGGTGAAGACACGAAACCGCCGTGTTTGGGAAGAAGTGGGAGGAGGATGTTTTAAATTCACGAAATCGCGTTGGGTGTTAGGCGGTCGTCAAACCACCGCTCTGGCCGCTAGAGGTCACTCTGACACCACGGATCGTGGCGCGAATCCCAGGACCCCCCAGTATCCAATCGCTGGACGCGCAGAGAGGGGTCCCCCTAATTTAGATATAACTCACGAGGGTCACCGGGTCACCCCCCCCCCCTCCAACTCCATTCTGCGTCTCTGAACACACACAACACAACATGCGTTTGATGTGTTTACCAGCTTGGTGACGCCTTTCCAGACACATTTTCATGATTACGCAAGCAACACGCTGGGCCGGTTTCGACCCTCTGGGTCTCATCGGCAGTCATTTGGTTTTAACAAGGGCCATTGTCCGAAACGTCAACTATAAGTGTGTTTCATCTATGAGACCTTTTTTGCCAGTATCAAAAATGTGGGGTTTACCCTTTCTGGGAGAGAAATAGGTGTTAAAACCTATTCTTATTTTTTAAGATCATTTTTGAGATTGGCAAAAAGGTCCCGTAGATATAAGTGGTCGACCCAAGCTATAAGTGCTCTGGTACATTGCCGGTGTACTGTTCGCCTTTTGGCGTTTTCTGGTGTAACACTGGGACAGAGACAAGGGCCATGAAGAAGGCTGTCTCTGGTGTAGGCCAATCAGTGTCAAAAACAATGCAGACATTGTTAATGATCAGAGCACGCCTGTTTGCACGTTTTGCCACAAAGTACGTGTGGTCAATGCAGCTATCATTTGTGACCAGGTCGCTTCTGAAAAGCAGCTGTACAGCTCAGTAGGTAAAATAAAATAAAAATGGTTTAGTCTAGTAGTTTATTGTAAACTTACCTTGGCTATTGTAGTTCTAGGTGTAAAATGCGACATCTACTTATTTATATGAAATCACGTTTGATGAGCATATTTAGAAAAAAATAATGTAATTTTATATAGCGTCATTCATGCCAAATACATCCCACAAAGCTGAACGTTAATTATATATAAGGCACCAAAGCCTACGCCTGTGCACTGTTGTATATGCCAGGTATGAAAATTAAAAATGAAAATAATAAAAATGAAATAAAATTTTGAAAAATGCGTAATTATCCGAAATTATGTTGATGTAATTATGCGCATATATTATGCTAATTTTGGAGATGCAAGCGTATAAACGTATGCAATTGCATGCGATTATGCTAATGCACACGTTATGATAATTAAGCCCTGCCTCGTTGTCGAGGGAAGTATTATCAATAGG